GCATCCCAGTGTCACTTGTTGGCTTGCTTAGGTGACTGTGGCCACTCCTCATATCTGGATCTAAGGTTCTGGGCTTTAAAATGAGTTAGTGATAACAACACTCCATCCTGACTCACAGGCTCTCAGTGGATCTAATGGATATGATATGATTTTTGCCATCAAATGTGAGACAATATTAATTATCACCATTCTGTGTCTGGGGGTTTGCTTTGGCTGTGGACATACATCGTGGGTATCTGACACCTTAATTTTTTTTTTTTTTGATATTTTGATCTGCTATTCACATGTCACTGGTAAAAGTATATTGCTAAATAAGTTACTTTTATAATAAGTTAAGTATGAAGAGATTGCATCCATCTATTATGTTACCTTACTTAAAATTGTATTTATTAAGTAGCTTTAACTGTTGTCTTAGGATACTGATTTCTGCTCCATGCTTCTTTCAAGACCACCTCCAAAATAAAATAAAATTTTATTTTCCTTAAAATATTTCTAGATCATAAATATTGATAAAGAGGGTTATATTATTTCTTAGTTGCCAAAGTTTCGCTACTATGAAATTCTTTCTGGAGGTGTATATCATCTACAACTTCTGATGAAGTTATTTTAAAAGTACCCTTTAATTGAATTACAGAAAAAGTTCCCATATACTTTTTGAAAGAAATCTCTTTGTGTGTTTATGCATTTGTATAAGAGACAGAGCAAGCTTTGAGAGAAGATCAAAGAGTTCCCACCCTCCAGAGGATTTCTTCTATAAAATGTAAACATAGTTATTTCTAGTTTCAGTGAACAGTAAGAAAGAATATACTTTGATTTTGGGCACTGAAACAAATTTCCCTTTTTGTTTTTTCCTCCAGTTTTTTATTGTTGTAAAACACATACAACATAAAAGTCACATGAGTGTACATTTTACTTGCCCTAAATGCATGCATAAGGGTGAGCCACCACCACCACCACCACATTTATCCCATATTCCTTTCCATCCTGCAGAATGGAAACTCTGTACCCCTAAACAGAACTCCATATTCCACCCCCAGCATCAGTGTAACTTCTGTGTTTATAATTTTTATTTTAAATATCTTACATAAGCGAGATTACAGTATCTGTCTTTTAATGAATAGCGTATTCTGCTTAGCTAATGTCCTCAAAGTCCATCCATGTTGTTCTGTGTCAGAATTTCCTTCCTGTTTAGAGCTGAATATTCCATATTTATTGATCCATTCATGTGTTGATAGAAACGTGGGTTATGTCCACATTTTAGGTATTTTGCATAATGCTTCTGTGAACTTGGGCATAAATGTCTCTTCAAGATCCTCTTTCTATTCTTTGGATATACACCCAGAAATGGAATTGCTGATAATTCTGTTTTTAATTTGTAGGTGAGCTGCCATATTGTTTGCTGTGGTTTGCATGTGGTGGGTGTGCCCCAGACACCCATTGAGACTAGAGACTTTACCCTCAGGGTGGCACTATTGGAAGGTAGTGGAATCTTTGGGAGGTGGGACCTATTAGGGACATGAGATGTTTCTAGTCATCCCTTTGATATTTCTAGTGAGAAAGTTGTAACAGGACCAAGCCTGGCTGCCACCCTGCTCCCTGTCCTCTTTCTCCTGCTCCCCTTTTGAGATATGACTGCTGACTCTTACATATGCTTTTGCCATGAGCCACCACACCAAACCGACGGGACACCCCCCCATTCCCCTACTGGCAGGTCTTGAACATTGAACCTGCAGAATGCTAAGCTGGATAAGCCTTTTTCTCACTACTGTGTAGGTATTTCATTTGGTGGGAAAAGCTCACTGATACATTTTTCCACAGAGGCTGTCCTGTTGTAGGGTTCTGCCCGCCGTGCACAGACTCCCACTTCTTCCTACCCTTGCCAACACCTGCTATATTCTGCCTATGTGAGAGCAGCCATGCTGATGGGTGTAAAGCCATATCTCCTATAGTTTTGATTTCTGTTTCCCTAATGATTCATAGTGTTGAAGCTCTTTTCATGGGTTCATTGGTTATTTGCATGTCTTCTCTGGAAAAAATGTCTACTAAAGTCCTTTGCCCATTTTTGAACCAGATTTGTTTGTTGCTGTCGCTGTTGACTTTTAGGAGTTTCTTGACATATTCTAGACATTAACTCCTTGACAGATTTCTAATTTGCAAGTATTTCTCCTGTGGTTTCCTTCTTAATCTCTTGGTACTTTTTTGATTCATGCTTTAAAACATTTTTCATGAAGTCCCATTTGTCTCTTTTGTTTGTGTGTTACCAGTTCCTTTGGTGTCATAGCCAAGAACTCCTTGCGGAGTTCAATATCAAGAAGCTTTTGTGTTTTCATCTGTGAGTTTCATAGACTTAGGTCTCATATTTTATTTGTTTTTATTTTTTTACTTTACCTTTTTAAAATTAATTTATTTATTTCAAAATTAGGTGTATATGACAGCAGAATGCATTTTGATTCATCGTACATACAATTGCAGCGCAAGTTTATATTTCTATGGTTGTACACATTGTAGCGTCACACAGTCATACATTACCTAGGACTAGGCCTTTGGTGTATTTTGGAATTTGTCTTTGTATATAGCCTTAAGTACAGTGCTAACTCTGGATATCCAGTTTTCCCAGCACCATTTATGGAAAAGACTGGCCTTTCCCCATTGAACGTTGCTTGGCTTCCTTGTTGAAAATCTTTTGACTCTATGTGTATGTATTTCTGAGCTCTCTATTTAATTTCACTGTTTTTGCTTCTGTTTGCTCAGCTCTACCTTTGAAGACCTCTAGTTAATTTTCCATTTTTCATTCTATCATAGTTTTCAGTTCAAAAATTTCTGTTTGGGTTCATTTTAAGTTTCTATTTTTGTTATTTCCATTTGTTCATACTTCCCTTTCTTGACTTTCCCACATTTTTCTTTAGTCCTTTGAAGTCTTAAAACAGTGGTCTTCAAGAATTTGTCCAGTAGATCTGCCGTCAGCTATTATTTCAGTGAGAATTTCTGTTTTTTTTTTTTCCCCCATTGAATGGGCCATACACTCCTATTTTGTTACAAATCCAGTCCAGAGGGACAGGCTCTTCACCTGGTTGCTCTCCTGGGGATGATGGGTGCTTTCAGCATCTGAGTCCCTTTCTTCTTCGACCCGTTGTCTGTTTCGCCCTGCAGTAGCACTCCCACCCTCCTGGCCTTTCCCACTGCCTGGGCTTCTGCTATTAGTGGGTGTCCTCTCTTCCTTTCTTCCTGGCACCAGGCAGGTCTACTGAGCTCACACCCTACATCACATCCAAGTATATTCCCTCCCTCAAGTTCAGCCTGTTTCCTTCCAGTGTGGCCAGAGGCACCAGGGCTGTCGCATGCAGTGGCCTGATAAATGGCCATCTGCTGTGGCCTCTTTCCCTGCAGCAGCCTTGCATCTCCCCTTCCTTCTCCTCTTTACCCCCCAGCAATATTTGCAAATAAATTTCCACCTAGCTTCGGAGGCCTGGTGCCTTGAAATCCAATGGCTCACCTTTCTGAGGCTCCCCCTGAGCAGGGCTCCATTGCTCCTCTCTGAGTTCCTCGGGTACTTTCCTGTGCCCCTTGCCTGCCCTCTCCATGGTCTGCCTGCATCTCCATTGTATCTGTGCATGGGCAGAGGTTAGCGGTGGTCCAGAACCAGACCTGGTGAGCAGTGGAGCTGGGATGTGAACCTCACTTTCCTTGCCTCAAAGACTTTGCTGTGATGAATCCCCAGGCACTTCCCTCCTGTCAATTTCTGACCCTCCCCACTTTCACATCAACCTCCTCTCCATTGCCCACAGCACATGGCTTTTGTGTATAGTAGGCTCCCAATAAACCTCTAGAATATACAGCACCTCTGCCTCTCTCCTAAAAAGTCATCTTTTTAAAGGGACTATTCAATTGACACTTGTTTCACAGATAACCAAAGCACTAAAGGCTGTACTGGTACCTCCCTTCTGTGTCCTAAATGTTTTGTGGTAGCCTTTATTTCCCTGTTAAACATAAATATTGATTTGAGATCCTTGTGCCAAAAAGTTCTTTATCACGTCTTCCCATTTCCATGGATCTTTCTCAGGGCGGCTTCTCCTCACATTCATAGTATTTATAAGTGGGTTGATTTTAAAGCTAATTAAATATTATTTCATGTTATTTCTTATCTGATCCTCAGGTTTTATGCATTTCCATAATGTTTATTTCCCAATGGTAACTGTTCTATCCATTTTAATGAATAAAAAATAAAATAGCTTAAATATCTTCTTGGTATATCGTAAATAAGCTTTTTTTTAAAGATAGTATTTGAATAATTTCGAATTCTGTTTCTTAGTTGGGGTATTGCCTGTCTTGCTATTTAATAAGCCAGTATTCTAGTCTTATCTGTAGATCTTTCATTTATTATCAAATAGTCAGATGCCCATCAGTTCAAACGCTATTTACGTTGAAAAAGAACTTGGCATTGTTGCATTTTAAAAACTTATCTCTGGAGGGAAAACAATCAGGCTTTAGGCTGTAACTTAAGTAGACCAGTTTTGTGTCCTTGGCATTAGCTGGAAGCCTGCAGCCTGATGAAATCAAAACCTGGAAGATTTGCAAAGAGAACCGGGCTAGGAGATAAGTTTAACAAAGCTTTTGTTTTCAGATGCAGCATCCTTTGATTCCTTGCTGTCATTAAATTCTGTGTGTGCATGGTGGAAAAGAAACTTTGAGTGACCTTATGATGTTAAGGAAATGCCAAATTATGTAAAAGATCCTAATGGATCATTTTTTAATTTGAAAGGGGGAAAGGGAGAGGGAAATAGTTCTCTAGTTATTTGATTTAAAAAATCCAAATCTATTTAAAGAATTTCAATACATTTGTCAAGTAGTGACCTATTAGGGAGAAAAGGTAGAGATTCTGATGACAGTCTGTCCAGGGGGTGAGGGAGGTCTCTGTGCGTCTCCACTGGGGTGCCCATTCTTCCACTGGCGTGCAGATCCTGCTATTGACCTCTCTCTTTGCTTCCTCTTTCCTCCTGCAGGTCACCTATCTGGGGAAAGTGTCCACCTCAGGCATGCAGTTTTTATCAGGCTGCACCGAGAAGCCGGTCATCGAGCTCTGGAAGAAGCATACACTTGCCCGAGAAGACGTGTCCCCAGCCAATGCTCTCCTGGAAATCCGACCATTCCAGGTGTGGCTGCATCACCTCGACCACAAAGGTGAGGCCACGGTCCACATGGATACCTTCCAGGTGGCCCGCATCGCCTACTGCACCGCCGACCACAACGTGAGCCCCAACATCTTCGCCTGGGTTTATAGGGAGATCAACGATGACCTGTCCTACCAGATGGACTGCCATGCTGTGGAGTGTGAGAGCAAGCTGGAGGCCAAGAAGCTGGCCCACGCCATGATGGAGGCCTTCAAGAAGACTTTCCACAGTATGAAGAGCGATGGGCGGATCCACAGGGACAGCTCGTCCGAAGAGGTTTCCCAGGAGTTGGAATCCGACGATGGCTGAATGGACTTGAGATGCTGAGCAAAGGCAGCATTGGTCACGGAGTTCCAGATGACAGGTGAATGAGCAACGATTCAAATTTGGGATGAAAAGACTGCCACACTATTGGCTGACCATGCTTTTTAAATTCCGAAGAGCAATTCTAAATCTAAAGAAATGTATCATTAAAGTAATTACGTTACATTGAAATCTGCTGCTGCTGTGACTGTGAGGAGGGTGGGAGCTTGGATGGGGAGGAAGGTTCTAGACTTTCTCTTTTTTTTTTTCCCCCTTATATGAACTCCTCCTCGTGGGAGATCTTCATGCCGATTTTTAACACTCTCAGGCAAATACTCTGCGGCTGTTATTTGAGGGACCATTCCAATCTGCCTTATGAAATCCAACCAGAATGTTAGAGGCACCTCTAGATCCCTGTGGGGGGCAGCGAGGGTGCTGATGCTGGTGCAGCGCCTGCAGGGTGGAAGGGACAGCTCAGGAGGACCCAGAGCTCCTCTCCACGGCATGTTCCAGACCCTCCTCAGTACGTGAATCAGCACAGCCTTTATCAAGCTTTACAACTAACAACCTGATAGTTGGCAGTTAATTCGCAGTTAAAGATAATGCTTTTATTTACATGAATATATCAAGTAGTACCCTCTTATTGTATTCACTTCATCTATTTTCTTAGAATACTTGCAACTACTAATAATCCCTTCCCTTCTCCTGCACCATTCATCCTCCCTCCCCTTGCAGCATCCCTAGAGAAATGGATTCTCAGCATCCATTGCAGGACATCAAAGGGAAGAAAATGATCAAGCAAATGATATAAACAGTGAACACACCAACCAGAAATCTAAAGCAGAAGCTCTCTGAGAAAAAGGGAGCAAACGATTAGCACGTAACACCCCCTGTGGAGGCTGACCCTTTTACAAACCTGATTTATGGTCACTTGCTTGGTCCATGGTCCTGTCTGATGAACCCTCCATGGAAAGCTTCAACCTCCTTTGCCACCACAAGGAAGCTTTGCTCCAGCACTCAACACTGCTCTCAAGTAGGGAATGAGTTGCATAAATGCAGCTGGTCTAGAGAAACTAGGTCCACTGTAACCTAAAGGGAAATCTTATCTTGTTCTCTGAAAGTTGGTGATGTCTTAGAGTCAGAATTGCCCACTGGTTCGTGGTTTCTAATGAGAAATTCTCCCTAGGAAAGCTGAGAATTCTCAGTCTCACAGATCTTTAAATACCATCAAGAATGGAATGGGTTTCATGGGATGAAATACATGCATTTAAGGCTGAGAGCAGATGAGTGATTTTCCAAGTAATACTGCTCCTTTACAAAGTCTGTTTTCATTCTTGGTAATGGTAGGGGCACTGGGCACCTTAGAAGCCTTAAATGAAAGCCAATATAATCCAGACAGCGATGGTGTCAGCATTTGGTCTGTGGATCTGTGTGTCCTTGTACGTGTTTGTGTGTTTGTACGTGTGCCCCTGTGTGTGGGTCCAGTTTTCAGGCATGTACAGTGAGCATGGCTCATACTGAGGAACACTCGTCTCCTGAAGATATGCTTGTTGCTTTACGACATATGTAAACGATTCTTTAGCATAAATGCATTCATTCTTTAATAAAAATATGTTTGAGTTAATAAATCTGAAGAGTTTCATACTTTGTTTGTTTTCTTTTCCAAGCAATGGAAACCCAAATAGTAAAATAGATCAAATTGAGTAAGTAGAACAATTCTACCTAAAGAAAATTTTTATACTTGCTCATAAATTGCCTGTTCTTTGATTGTGTTTAAAATTTTTGTTTTATCTTCTAAATATTTAATTTGTTTTTAATGGTTAGCCTACCCTTAACTGAGATAACACAACAGATGGAAAGAGTTATTTGGTACAATAGATTTACTTCAGAAGAATGCTTCCAGAATATTTTGCAAATTATTGCTATTTTGAAAATCCCCTGTACATCTTTGGAGAAGCCACGCTGAAATCCTGGAAGGTAAGCTCTGAGGAGACTGGTTAAAAACCATCTCCTCCAAGCCATGATTTCTCAGAATGGCCCCATCAATCAAGCAAGGCAGGTGGCCTTGGAGTCTGTGTGTTTTCAGAAATGCCTTTCATGGTATCAGTAACAAATATAAAGGCTTTTAAAGTGAAAATGTGGGTGCCTGCTAAAAAGATGAACTCAAGTGAGAATTACTACCCAACTCTTGTGATGGAAATGGCTTTTCTCTCCAGTCCAACTTTCCCCAATTTTATTTCCACTCCACTGTCCTTGAACATACATCTGAAAGGAAGAGAAACAACAAACCAAACAGCATATATTTCAAAACCATGTCATTTTCCTCTCTGAGCAAAAGCTGAATCCCAAGTGCATTTGTGGTTATTTTTTTTTTGCGGGGGGGGGGGGGGGGCTCTTGCTAATATTTTTTTCAGGGTCCTAAGTGACACACGCTTGTAACTCACTCAAATCATATTGACATGACATTTTGCATGGGATGAATGGTAAGCAATAGAAAAATAAATACACAAAGACTATGAAGTCTTTGGTGGGGGCCAATAGTTATTCCTCTCAGAGGGAAGATCCAGGTTTGTAATTTTTTTTTCTTTTTTTGGTACCAGGGATTGAACTCAGGGACACTTGATGATTGAACCACATCCCCAACCCTTTTTATATTTTATTTGGAGACAGGATCTTGCTGAGTTGCATAGGGCCTGAAATCCTCCTGCCTCAGCCTCCCAAGCTGCTGGGATTACAGGCCTGCACCACTGTGCCCAGCTGTAATATTTTTAAATGCTTTTTACTCCCCCTTCCTGAGCTAGCTTTTCTATGTCCCATTCCTGTGAGTTACCTCCTATGCTCCTCAAAACTATCCTGTAGGCAGGTGTGACAGTTGCTTCAGACATGAGGAAACTGAGGCTTAGAGAGATGAAATCGCTTAGCAGAGGCAAGGCAGGTGGGGTGTGTTTGATCCCTCTGGTCCAGGCCCAGGCCCTGTTGCAGCAAGATCCATCATACCTGGGTCTTTCATTACCATTTCTCTAAAAATCACCTAACTTATTATAAATTCACATATCTATAGCATTCTGAAGAAGCATTCTTTGCTATTTACTCTGGAAGTATTTTTGACCATGATAGAATTTTAAGAGCCAAGCCCCAAGAAGCTTTATTTGAGCACAAAAAGTAATTATCAACCCTTGATTAGGGATTTTCCTGGCTGTGGGCAATGGTCACAATCCTCTTCTCTTAAATCAAGATTTCTGTTTGGCTTATTTTGTGTTGCTCAGGACTCATTAAAACACTCCATCAAGTCCTTCTCGTACAGGACTCTGTAGCATCCTGTGATTTTCCTCCATGTCATTCAGTGCCACTTTCAACCACATAATTATTTACATATTTATGTAAATATCTGTTTAAATATCTGGTTAATTGTCTTAAGATGGGGAATTTGTCCCTTTTTTCCAGTTTTATCCTCAGCTCCTCTAGCAGGACGAGGCACTGGGGAGGAGCTCTCAAGGTGGAGGGATACACACACCCAAGAGACAATCAATCACTGTGTGTCTTTGATTCACAAATTCTAGGGCAGGATCCTGGAGCACTGGAAGGTTCCCTAGTAACTCCCCCACCCAGTTTCCTCAAAGGTGAGCAAATAGCTTTCTACTGAAGAAAAACACGGCTCCTCACCCAATTCCCAAAAGAAGCTGTGGCTGCCTGGAGATGATAGCCCAGTGCTGGATGCGGCTGGATGACTGAGGGGGCAGCCAGGTGATGTGTCTCAGGACACCAGCATTTAGTGGATGAGAGAACTTTCGTCATATGTTGTCCCTGTTTATTTCCATCATTTAAAAGAAGAGAATGACTGTGGAGGGAGGGCACTTTTACATTCTGATAAAGGAAGCCTGATGAATTTGGCTGGGTCTTTCACCAAGCTTATCCTGTAGAAATGTCTTTTTTTTTCTGTCCCCTCCTCTGCTTTTTCTATTTCTTTCTTTCTTCCACCCTTTCTTCCTTTTCTCTCTTTCTGCCTTCCATGTGTATTAACCCCTTGATACATTCCACACTCTGTTGGATTTTAGAAGGCAGGAGCCTGTATGCTCTGAATCTGAAACCACACATTCCGGTTTGTGATCCACTGGTGCAAAACTTGGCAAGACTGAGGAACAGTGAAGCTTTCCTACCCTATTATTTATTTATTCATTTATCTTAATTAGATGGGACATGACTTAATTCTTCATTGTCTAACATTGCTTAAATATTCAAAAAACATGTTCTTCCAGTCTCTCAGATATACACTAAACTAACTTAGAGTGAAGGTGAAGACACCCATAATTGTCAGAAGGCAACTCCAAAATTCTGATTGATCTTCCACTTTTCTGCGTAATGATGAGATTTGGCTCCGGGAATAATTTGGCTTCTGGAATAATTGATCAGCTTGAAACCTTTGGCTTCTCCTTCTGAAGAGGTGCCAAATGATAATAGCCACAAGAAGAAAACTAAGTGTGGTGCAGAGAAGCCCAAGCATAGAAAGAAAAACAACGGGAAGGGTAGAAACCAATTGTTCAGAGGATATTTGTATATTTGCAAATAGACCTTACTCTGGATATTTGCAAATGAGCCATATTTGTTAAAATGAATCTAAGACATGGCGATCTTGTACAACTGAGCACAACTAATGCTCCCAGACTTGTGGAAAGTGTTTCTTTTGAAATGCCCTAGTAAGATTATCTTGGGCTTTGCTTATGCACACAAAATTGGGGATTCAACATGAATCTGAGTAGATTTTCTTTGGGATACTTAATGGTTTCTACTTTAAAAAATAATGTTCCTAAGTTTTTGATAGCTTGGCTTAGAAGTTATTCGAGTGATAGTAAACTAAGATAGTGACTTCTTATGTATTAATTCAACCACCTCATAATAAATAAACCAATAATTATCAATACCTCCATATCTATACCTTCTTTTAACAGCTATTTTCTAAATGAATACACACACACACATATTCCTTTTTGAAAGCGTATATGTAGGGAAAGTTTGGATTATTTGAAAACTTTGTGAAATTTTTTTTTAATATTTATTTTTTAGTTGTAGTTGGACACAATATCTTTACTTATTTATTTTTTTCTGTAGTGTTGGGGATCGAACCCAGGGCCTCGCCCGTGCTAGGCGAGCACTCTACCGCTGAGCCACAACCCCAGCCTGAAAACTGTGTGAAATTTGTAAAATAAAACATGATACTGCATGAGACCTGTTTGATATCAATCCTATCATTACATTGCCTTAGTTGCCCTTCCAGAACATTCTTTGCCCTCTGAGGGCAAAGCTTAAGAGAAGCTCATAAGGAAATATGCACTTAGGAGGAAGAGCCAAGAGTAGGCTGCATTCCATAGTCTTTTCTTTTTTAGGAATTATTATTTTAATGACATGGTTGCATATATTTATAGCATGCAACATGATGTCTTGAATATGCACATATTGTGGATTGTCTAAATCAAACTAATAAACATGTGCATTGTTTCACATAATTGCTTCTATGGTGAGAACAGTTTAAATCTCCCTTGGCAATTTTCAGGAAATTAAAAACACAGTGAGATGTCATCCTGCACCTGTTAGAATCACTACTGTCAAAAAGACAAAAGATAACAGGTGTTGTGAGGGTGTAGAAAGGAAAGGGAAACTTTGTACACTGTAGGTAGGAATTTGAAAGGAAAGGGAAACTTTGTACACTGTAGGTAGGAATTTGAGTTGGTGAAGCCATTATGGGGAACAATCTGGAAGTTCTTCAAATAACTAAACACAGAACTGCTATATGATCCAGCAACCCCACTTCTGGTTATGAAATCAGTATGTCAAATAGGTTTCTGCACTCTCTCTTTCATGGAAGCATGATTCCCAATAGCCAATATATGGTATCAACCCAAGTGTCCATCAGCAGGCAAATAAATGAAGAAAATGTGCTATATAAATATACACACACAAAAGGTTATTCAACCTAAAGAAGAAGAAAATTCTGTCATTGGCAAAAATATGTATTAATTTGAAGGGCATTTATCTAAGTGAAATAAGTCAGGCAAGAAAGACAACTGCATGATCTTACTTATATGTGAAAACTCAAAGTGTAGCATTTAAGGAAACAGAAAGGTGGTGGTTCCCAGGAGCTGGGGAGGTATTGGACAAAAGAAACAAAATTTCCAGTTGACAGAAGTAGTAAGTTCAACAGTCTACCATGCAGCATGGTTACTGTAGTGAACCATAGTTTATAATATTCATGATCACTTTTTGATGTAAATTTTGGATCAGTGAAGACTCAATCTTGTTATAGGTCTAAACATTGTGGTTCTGATTCCAATTTTGCCCAAAACCCCACATCTAACAAATGTCACTGTGTTTGTGATTGGGGATTATCTTCATGTAGAGGGTGTTACATGAATGGAAACATCTCCGCTGGGGGCCTGGATGAAACTGGGCCCTTAATTTAGCCCTCTCTGATAGCTTACTGCCTTTCCCATGCTGATTACAATAGCTTTTCCTAGAATTGAGTACCACACTTCTAGAAATCGGTATATTTAAAGCTTGTTTACCTTAGACAAACTAATTAGAAGTTTGTGGTTTTAGTCTTGAAAATGTTAGGTTTTATGTTTGTTTTAATAAAAAAATA